AAACTGTGGCCAAAACTTTTTTGGGGTGAATGATAGTAAGGAAACAAAATCTATTGAATAAAACTGTGGGCAAAATTTTTTGGTGAGGAGAGTTCAGGAAGCAAAGTCTAATGACTAAAACTGTGGACAAAAGTTTTGGTGAGGAGAGTTCAGGAAGCAAAATCTAATGACTAAAACTGTGGACAAAAGTTTTGGTGAGGAGAGTTGAGGAAACACAATCTAATCACTAAAACCGTGGACAAAAATTTTTGGTGAGGAGAGTTGAGGACACAAAATCTAATGACTAAAACTGTGGCCAAAACTTTTTTGGGGTGAATGATAGTAAGGAAACAAAATCTATTGAATAAAACTGTGGGCAAAATTTTTGGTGAGGAGAGTTCAGGAAGCAAAGTCTAATGACTAAAACTGTGGACAAAAGTTTTGGTGAGGAGAGTTCAGGAAGAAAAATCTAATGACTAAAACTATGGACAAAAGTTTTGGTGAGGAGAGTTGAGGAAACACAATCTAATCACTAAAACTGTGGACAAAAGTTTTGGTGAGGAGAGTTGAGGAAACACAATCTAATGACTAAAACTGTGGACAAAAGTTTTGGTGAGGAGAGTTCAGGAAGCAAAACCTAATGACTAAAACTGTGGACAAAAGTTTTACAATGTATGACTTTCAATCAAGTTCTACAAATATGTCCACCACAAACTTGACAAAAAAATCATATATGGTTGTTAGAAATGAATGATTTTTAAATGAATTCTGCAAATACATAACCCACGTTTCCACAAATAATTGACCAAATACTTCAAGTTTGTTCTCCCACAGACAAAGCATGATAAGCATCAACCATTCCAGGCTGCATGTGGAATTTCAAAACGCAAACCATTGCATGCCTTGGGAAGAATGTTTTCAACACTTTTGACATCACTATTTTCCACATTATCAAACTTGCTTGAGGCTATAACAATTGATAACCTCAAGCTTTGAGGTTAAGGTTAATCTATATAATAACCCCCTTGAGGTTATTAATAACCTCAAAAAAAGAATAACCTCAAAGGTTCTTTTTAACCTCGGCTGATCTATAGGGTAGTTCGAGTTCGAATTCCAATCGACGACAATTTTGACGCCCGGAGGGGGGGAAACGCAGTTCGAGTTCGAGATTTCGAATCGACGACAATTTTGACACCGGGGGGGGGGACCAGTTCGAGTTCGAGTTCGAATTCGAATTCGAACCGACGACAGCGATTTTGGAGTTCGACTCTTTCTATTCGTCCACTGGTTGACTTCTAACAGTTCCAGTTCGAGTTCGAGATCGAGTTCGAGATCGAGTTCGAGTTCGAGTTCGGTTCCTTCCATATATATCCTTTCAAGGTTAATAGTTAAAAGTTCATCAATACTGTATAACTGTTTCAGTTCGAATTCGAGTTCGAGTTCGAGCGGGGCACACTACGCCATGTCTGGAGCTTCTGGGGCGGCGCTACCCGCACCCAGGTGCACCAGAGCGCGGATGCCCGCATCTTGCGCTGCATCTGGTTGGGAAGTTCCCTTCTCAAGGTCCTCCGCTGGTTCCTGAGGGTACAATTTGGCAAAGCGTGCGCGGCACTCTCTTTCATCCTGGACATCCAGGTGTTTGTCCATGCTTCCACTGCCTGTCAACGGTAATGTAGTCAGACTTCTTCTTGCTTGATGGAGCTTCACTCGTGGCAACCTCGGGTTTGTTTGCCGTACTGGGCGTTCCAGGCATGATTGTACCTGCGCCTTTGGGTTGCCAGGGCACACCTTTTATCTTCGCAAGGACGTCTGGGGTCCATCTTTTCTTTTCTGGCCTTCTGAAGGTTGTTCTGCATCGACGGATGCCCTGTTCTGTTCCCAAGAAGTGCTCGTCACTGTTGAGGGATTTTCCAAGCCAAACACCTACATTCGTTTGTGGGTCCAGCTTTCCAGCTTGGTTCTTCTCAAGCTTGAAGTGAACTACCTCAAAAAGGTTCTACGACTTGGCCACGGTACTCTCTTCCCCGAAGCCTTTCATATGGAGTCCGTCCATCAGCCTTCACTAGAAACCGCATTAGTAGCCATCCTGCATGCCTGACTAGCACAGGCACTGTACTTCCTCTTCCCCGCCAGGAGTTGCTAGCTCCCTTGCGTCCTTTGGATCTGGCTTGCTTGCATGCAGAACACGTCCCAAAAAGCAGTAATCCAGACTCAATCGTGAAATTGCTTGCATGTTGACCGCTTCCCTTTTCTTACGATCATCTTCTTTCGCCTTCCCTGTAACACAGTGGTCCCACCAGCTACGAAAGGGAATGTGTGTGTGATCATATGTTGATTGTACTCGTCCGCACTTCCTTGTTCAGTGATTTTCTTTGATTAGAGGTTTTCGTTCCACCTCTGAAATTTCCAGCGGCGGCGATCCCAAAACCTTTCCCAATGACTCTGGGCGTAGAAGACGAGGAAGAATCGGCTGATTCTACTCCAGTATGCTCACCTTGCAGGAAAGGAGAGGCGGTCTGTTCGTCAATCTCCTTTTCAAACGCATCACTGGGAATGACTTTCTTTACGGGCTTCAAGGCTGCCATTGTCCTTGTCGTGGTGCTTCCCGCAGAACAAGGTTTAGCTTGCAACCAATACACGCCGTGACTTTTCTTGAGTGGAACGGTTTGAGCTTCCATGACAGCTTGTCGAACCTGATCTGCATGTTTATCCATCATGATGCAATGAACGTTTGGCCCAATGATGGTCCATGTTCCACGTTCCCCGGTTTGCAGCTTGTCCTGCTGACATCACGTTGAACCCTACACGATGACTTTCGGAATAGTTAATCTGGAAGGTTCCACCTGAAGTTTCAATGTACGATTGCTTTTTTGTTGGTGTTTTCAAGGGTTCCCCTGTTATAGTAGTGAGCACTTTGCTACTTACATCTTTACACTCAAATGCATGGGGGTCAAAATTCTTCACGAACAAGTTTGACCCAGCACCAGTGTCTACCAAGATGTCTGTTGAGGGTACCAAAGCTGCGATGATGTCGTGGCCATCGTCCAAAATCACCTGAGGCAGGGCGGTGACAGGTTCAGGTTCTCGGTTCTCGGGGGCTGCAGCTTGGGCGCAGGGCTTCCCGCTACCCTTACCTTTGTTCTTGTCGGCCTTCTCGTCTGCTGCTTTCTTTCTACATTCTGCTTTGAGGTGACCCCACTTCTTACAGTAGTGACATTGTTTGTCAGCGTTGGGGTTGACAGTTCCACCTTTCCCTTTGTTATTTGAATGGTCCTTCTGTTCTTTTCCTTTACCGCCCTTTTGGTTCTTTCCTTTACCATCTTTACTGGGGTTCTTACCTTTACGTTTACCACCCTTCTTGAAAGGAGCCGCTCCTATGTCCATGGGGGAAGGCATCTGGGAGAGAACCCTGTTGGTCCTAGAAATCTCCAGCAACTCAGTCCTAACGTCATGATAGGTACGGAGTCTGGAAGAGTTTCTGATTACATGGTCTCTCATCGAGGTGTCTTGTATAGGCCATTCACAACTATGCCCAAGAGCAGCTCATCATCAATGTGCTTTCCACTCTCACTTTCATATCTCCGCACAGTCTTGTCAAACGTTTCTAGCTCAGCTTCCAAATCACCAGAAGAAAACCTTGTTGACAAAATCAGTGACAAGGAACCAACGTAGCGTGAAGCAACCCGTGGATGAAAAGTCTCATAGCGTCATAGAGCTTCCTATAAGTCTCTAGGCCTTCACCCGATTCAACATGGTAGGCAACATCCAACGCCCGACCACGAAGCAGCATGACCAACACAAAGCACAACTGGTTTGACAGCTGTTCTTCTCTAGCGTTTAGCCCTCGGTTGACCATTGGTGTTGAGGAACTCTCAGCTCGTTCCAACAAGGAGTTGAAAAGGGGGTCAATACATCCCATGTACGCTTTGAAAATAAACACCCAATCAGGAAGTCCTCTGCTTGTCCTTTGAATACTTCAGGCTTTCCCAATGTTCTGGTATCTATCAAGCTTCTATTTTGACTGCTTGACGTTGGCTCAGCGAACGTATCCAGTGAAACATTGCTGACTCGACGATCCGCGGCTTGCGTAGCTGCCAAGTTAGCTTCTTGCCTTTCTATCCTGGCCCTCAAAGAAGCCATTTCAGCATACTGCTGCTGGAGTAGCTGCAACAACTGCTGCGTTTGGTGGCTCGCAATCGCTTCCCCAGTCAGGCCCGCTTCCTGATCCATCTGGTGAAGCTATTGCCAGATCGGATTCCTCCTCTGTATCTTCTTGTTGAAGAAGATCTTCTGTTCGAGGAAAGGGTTTTGACTCCAGATTGGCTTTGGGCTTCTTGGTCGCCGGTTCAATCTCACGGTCTGGTAGCCCTTGATACCTGAGAGTTCGGTCTTGTTCTGTATTTCTTGACCTCCTATAAGTTTCGCAGCTGCAAAATTTTCTGCAACAGGACGGTTCGCCTTGGTCTGCTCGTCACAACTTGAGCACAAGGGAGGCAGACTGGCGATGATGGAGTGGCGAATACTTCCTTTTGGTGATTCTGGGCAGCAATCCCAACAAGGGCCTTTCTCTGCCAAAACCTGTAAGTCTTCCACTTGTCTTTGGCTTCTTGGATTCCTGCTCTCAAGTCCTCTGCGCGCTCACGTCGACACTGAAGTTCTGAAGCGACTGAATGTAGACGAACTGTCTGCCTTGGTGGTGATTAGGCCCTTGGGCTTTTTCACGCTTTGGAACTCGTCTTTCAAGAGGAGGGCGGTTGTGCTCCTGCTTCTGATGGTGTTCTCTTCGAACGCGTCTCACTTTCCTCGGCCCTTTGACCTCAGTAGTTCTGCGGGCCCTAGCACTACAGTCCTCGTCAAGCTTCTGGGCTGCTTCCTGTTCAGCCCTTGCAATGATTCTTTCCGCTCTGCGGACGGTGCCCCTTTCCTGTCTAGAAAGGGTGGCAAACCTGTTTTCCCCTTTTGTTCTTTTTCGGGGGAATTTATGTTGGTCCCCTGTCGGTGTGGGGCCACCCGCAACCGACTCAGTACTCACAACTGGCGCGGTACCACCCGCAGCCAGCTGCAAGCTTGAAAAGCAGTCCCTGATCGGTCAGGGCTCCGCTACCATGAAACACCAAGAGCGCCCTACCTCGCTCGGGCACTCAGCAAAAGGGGCTACATGACTGACATGCAGCGAAGTCTCAAGTTCCTTCAAGGTTATCTTACATACATGAACATGGGGTGGAATAGTCTTTACATCTCAACAACCGCCAACACTGAATTTGATAGAAACGCCATCTTGGCACAAGATCTTTGTGTTCGGTATGCAGGGCGCAGCTTAAAGCAATGTGAACATGCGCAAGAGATCTCAGCAAATTGCTCCAAGCACAGTCAGAGCCATGGGTCCTGCAAGGACATTTCTGCCACCTGCTGCGTCCACGTCATCCAAATGGATGGCAACTCGTGGAACATTCCTCGTTGCAGACCCTGCGACACATCAAACAACATTCCAAACAGTTGTACTTTACAAACTGCACTGTGAGGAGGCCTGAACGATGAATCGTAGGGAGCGTTCAAGCGTCCGGCCAGTCATTGGCTCGCCTCCAGGCAAAACTGTGAAGCGGAACATTCAAGGACCCAAAGTGAGGGTGAAGGTCTCCAAATGTTCAACAAATTCATCACAGATTGTCTTAGGACCAGGACCTTCAAAAGATCTGGCATGGAGGCTTCCGAGAATGTGCTGCTTCAAATCACCCAGTTCCTCGGAATTTAGGGCCAATAAAACTTGTTGAGATCCACAAATGCAATCACAGGAAACATACTGCAGCGCTGGGCCGTCGGACCTTCTTAAATTCAGGTGTAAGCTTCGTCCACTCGAGTTTTGACAAATCCTGTGCTTCTTTCAGATGTGGTCAGCAGCGACGGTCAGCATGTGAAATCAACAGAACTTCACATTCACATGAGACCAAACAGGAATTGAATACAATCTCGCACGCGCACTTGCAGATCAGATTTTGATGTTGCGGGCAAAAACAATGTTTTCACCTCAGAACAGCAGCTTGTTCAAGGACTTCAGGCACATGATCTACCTTTCGTCTGAACCGCACACCTTCACATCGCTGTAGAGCCTGGACAAAATGTGGATTTCCTCGCCTCCGCCAAACACAATGCCAGCGCTAAAAAAGCTTGTAGCCATGGGACAAAACTGTTCGGGTGTCTAGTTTTCTGACTGGTTTTCAACATCTGTGAAAATGATTCAATGCTGTTCAATGTCATCGCAGGACGGTTCTGAGCTGCAGCAAAAATTGACTCCTTCCAGCAAAAGGATGCAAAAAGTGTCGTTGGCACTAACTTTGCCTGCAGAGTCGTTCACGTGCGACAAATAAGACCTGCATTCCACACAGAAAAACAACATGGGGAACCTGTCAGTTTTTCGTTTCATAGGGCTATATAATAACAATCCTTGTATCTGTAGCATTTCACACACGTGAGAGAAGACTCCCCGAGTGCAAACATTCGGTCTGCCGCCATGGACTTCTCTACAGCTAAATTCAAACCTTCCACAGTTGCCCAGTTCCAAATTGCGCCAGCTAGCGAAGTGTGCATTGACATGTCCAGGGGCACCTGAACAGTTCTGTGGTAAGAACTGGTGCAGGGGCTAAGTTCCTCCTACACTAATGATTGATTGCATTCAACAACGCATCGTCCTTCTTTCGGTTCGCTGTTCGGACAACCGGTGAACCACAAAACCTCCAGGCACGGCGACCATGTTTGAACATCCGGTATAATATACAAATATATATATATATATAGTTTTGTAATATGGACATGGGATTACATATATAGGCCAAGTCCTAAGTGCATTATGTGACCTAAATACAACACTGGCATACTCTAGGATGGGAGGTGTCGAGTGTCGAGAGTATGTCGATTCTTGTGATTTGCACCTACCTGTGGCTCTGATTTTGACGGCAAGTGCGCAAGAAAGAGGAGAACCTATCACCACCAAAGCTAAAGAAGAAAAGAATGGCATGGGCGGTGAGCCTCACCTTCTCAGCTATGCTGTGGAGGACTTCAATTTCCTTTCACCAACATGGAACCACTATGACCAAAACAAACAAAGCCCTGACAGCGAAGGGAATCTTGTTGGCTTGATTTCTGGTTGTCCACTGCTTCGTTGAACTTGCTGGGTACAGCAAACGCATCTTGCGGGCAAATGTTTGAAAGGTTGTGTTCATGCTAATGCCAAGCCATCTCGGTCGACTTGAAATTGCAAGGGTATGTTTCAACAAAATAGGAACCGAGAGCAGCCATTGCGTTGCCTCGCGCAAGCCCGTTCCAAATCATTACAGAATGTTTCTTTCTCGATTTGAGAAGGGGAGCGCTGTGGTCAATTTTGAGTGCTGCTTGGCAGAAAAAGCTCTCTGAGTCTGCAAAACCGGTAGGCTCGCCATCCAACACTGTGGTCGAATTGCTGGCCTGAGCCAAGCTGTTGCTGGATCCATAGCATGGGCAACTGACTCAGGCATCTCCTGAACAAAGTCCTGCCAGCTTCGACAACCAACATCTGAAACTCATGAGGTTTGACACATCAAGCCGCCTCGACAACCCATGTCAATGGAGGAAAACTTCGGACACTGAGAAACCTTGTCTCCCAAAAAGGAACCCTGAAAACACGTAGAAAAAACAGCAAATCAGAGCGCACCAAGGGCTGGGCTCTGGTGTGACCAAAGTAGCGGGCTCTGTGGAGGTTCGAGTGCGAAACAATTGCGCTCGCCGCGCTAACATTTCAAGCAGGTTCACGGCCTCGCGAAGTCTTGGCCGAAGACTGCGAAACTGCCGACTTGCAGGAACAAAATTGTCCCTCCTTCACTCTGGTCTCCGAAAATAAAGTGTAAGTTATAAGATGTTAGAAGTATGGTTTTCATGCGAAGATTGGGGTTCGGAAACCTTGAAAGCTGCATTGCTCAGCCTGCTGGTCAATGACCTTCACGGTGTTGTACCTGAAAGCAAGGTTTTGCAAGCAAGGGCGCTTTCAAACACGTTCAGCTCTGGATGCGCCCTGATGTCATTTCTCGCAACTTTGTTGCTACAGGCGGCCATTCTCAAGTGCTTGCACATGCAGACACACTGACAATGTGCTTTCAAGCAAGAGTAAGACTGAGCAGGAGCATAACTACCATATAGCACCATGCAGCCAGTCCCAGCATTGCTGGCGTCACTCTTTAATTTGGTGCCTACATTACACTTCTTGCAGCTTGCTGGGCCGCAACACCGCCCAAGAAACCGGCAAGGAAACGGTCTGACTCGACACCCACATGGCTTGCGCTGCTTGCGCTTCTCCGGGAAGTTCCCCGTGAGTCCAGCCATATGTCGGGCACAAGATCCAATTCCAAAGGGGTCTGTCGAATTGACCGGATCTTCTCCATTGCTGCTAGCACACCGTGAAAGCTCTGTGAATCCGTGTCCTTGGCTGCAACAAGCACAAGCATCGCTTCATGAGGTTCTATTCAATTCCTTGCAAACGACCTCTTCTCGCTTCTCGCCTATCAAAGCGTAAAACCAAAAGTTGAATGAGGCCCGTTCTCAAATTTTCCTGCATAACAGCATTTGGTGCCCCGAGGACGTCAGTAGTTGCAAATGTTCTTGGTGCGAGGTACAAGTACGTCACCGCTTTCGCTCTTGGCTCTCAAACGTCTCATAATATACTGTAGTGTGGCCAAAAAGGTACTGTAGAACAGGGCGTTCTTGGTAGTATGACTTTGCAGAGGTTCAAACGTTGCGTTGGACATCGTCGCTTGCTTTGTGGTTCCTTTTGTCCCTGGTTCCCAGGCATGCACCCACAGACTCACAGCGTGGGGGCAGCTATTCTTGCTCGGGTACTCAACACCAACGACTTGGCACACGCGTTGTGTTTGGAGCCTTCGGCTTGGCAAATCTCACGCAAAGCAATGGAATGGGGCATGGAAGGACGCTTTGAAACCTGCAGAACAATGGCGGTGTCAAAAATGCGAGGTGCTTAATTGGACAAGTACTATGAAGAATGCAATTCAGTTTTTTGAAGCGCTATGTGGCTATGTCTATGTGACATATTGTTTGCGCAAACAAAAATCCAGAGCGGCTGTGAGCTACTCCAACCTTACCTTTTGTGTGCCACGCCAAGATAGCCATTGGAACCTGGGTAACTTTTACGGGCCACCTAAGGCCAAAATGAGGTGCAATCAAAGTGTGCACCACACCTTGCTCGTCAAACCAAACAAAGTACAAACATCAAGATAGCCAGCCAATAAACAACAAATATATATATATATACAAGAAAACCCGGTTAGAATGCACAGAACCACAATAAGTCAATAGATCCTACTAGTATTGTGGCCCACCGGCAGCCCTGTACCACCCTCGATGTTGCATGGTGCAGCACAGCGGCATAACGCAATACAGATTGACGGTACGCGCTCTTGAGCTCAGCGTTGGAGCAGGAAGGGTCCACACCCAGCACAGAGTATGCCTGCAAGCAAAACGAGAGGTTCCGACGTACCCAAAAACCAACACAACAGTGCCCAACATAATGTCGTATAGGCACAATTGACCAAAGAAACCACCAAAGTTAAATTTCCCAGCCATGGAACCAATTGATTTGGCGGGTTGAGGGCAACAAAAGTCGATAAAGCCCGACAAATCAAAGTTAGGTTCGATTGTGACTTCAGGGCAACACCCTCTTTGCCCGGCACATTTGGAAAGAGCCTGGCCTAGTGACACCCTCTTTGCCTGGCCTAGTTGAAAAAGAGCCCTGCAGAACATCGGGACTGTTTTGCACATTTGGTTTGGTACTCCGTTTTTAGTTTTGGTCATTTCACAAGGGTTATGAGCCCAAAACAACCGACAACTGATGCTCCGTCGCCGGCGAACGATGGTGTTAGGATCTTCACTCGCTTTGCCTCCACCCGAGGAGGGCGCCTTTTTTTTAACAAGCGAAATGCACTTGCAGGAGCCATTCAGAGATCCATTGCTCAAGGTGTAGTCCGGCGGCGCTGTGTCACACACTGTCTCCCGCAGGTCGTTCACATAGCGCTGCAAATCTTCTGGAGGCACAAGCGTGATGCCATAGTCATAAAGAACTCGGTCAACCTGATAGATTTCAGCCACCTGAGAAGGTGGTAGTGTCACGGGTGAGGACGGCAAAGTTTCCCAATATTCAACGTGAGCTCTGCAAAGGCTGCAATCTCCAAACCCGGGCTTGGCCTCACAAACTGCGCCATCAAGCGCAATGCCAGGGCACCGGATCACCCGCACTGGAGCAGTCTGCTTGGTTGTACCTGGTGGCGCTTCATGATATTTGCACTCTGGGCAATCCAAATTCCATCCAAGAGCACACAAGCACAGCTGGCGCAACACAAACTCCCAGGAGCGGCTCGTGGGCGACTTGCTGCTTTTGCAGTACCACCAGTCCGACCTTTGCCTGTGGGTCTGGTGCTCCAGTTGGTGCGTTGAGATGAAGTCGAACGGCTGCGCCAATTGGAACCAGATGAGTCATCGCGGCGGTCATCTCGATCATCTCTGTTCCACTTCCATGCTGACTGATCCGGAGCGCGTCCTGCCAATTGGACCATGGTTTGCGGCCCTTTGATTTTCCCTTTGTTGGGGACTCAGGTGAGGAAACCCGAGGTCGGGTTGATCCCTTTCCATAGTCTTCAATCTGCACGCCATAGTCTTGAAACACCTGTGAGACTGTTGCAATCATTCCCGACGGCCCCCTGCAAAGGGGGTATCCAAATTGCAGCTGTGGATCTGCACATCAAAAGCTTTTGTGAAAGAATGCCGGGCGACCGTGGTTTTGTCCCTCGATGTCTCGAGCAGCAAGTGAATCTACAAACGTTTGCAGTGCGTCGTCGTCCATCTTTTGCCTCTTTGGAGAAGATCGTCGATCTGGTTGGGCTTTCTGCGCTTTCAACTCTTGTAGCAAAGCATAGTCAAAGCAACTAGGAGCGAAGCTTCGTGCCAAATGCCTCGAGGAGGGCGCTGCACGGGTGAACCCATCGCCCCTGCTTCTTTGAATGTTCGGAAGGAGGATGGCAACTCTGACTGCTCAAAGCGATAACCGAATGAGTCTGGGAACCTACGACGATGGCTTCGCTGGAGGGCTCGAGCTCAGGAGATTCGAGCCGCTGAATCTGACCCCTCGATCTTGGTGAAAGGCCTCAACAAGTTGACGAAAAAGACCTTGGTCGCACATGAAGGACTTTGGTTCAGGGTCTCTCTTGCCCGGAACTCCTTGCAGGTTGACACCAACCCGACACCAGTCTCGGTCTCTCAGTTCGCCGCCCATCTCATTGGCGAGATCGACCAGCTCGCCCTCGGCGGGAAGCGAAGTGCAGGGGCGCAAGGAAAGAATGCTGAAGGAAAAGTCAAAGAGTTGGAAGCGAAGCAACCGCGCAAATTCTATCTCACCGAATCTGGTTGCCGCCATGGGAAGGAATGCAGGTGGCCCCATGACCTCAAAGATGATCAACGCAGATGCCACTCTTGTGGCTCCTATAGTTGCCCAACCAAGGACTCTTCCAATTCTACATCTTCTATTTCACCGCCCAACGTGTAGAAGGAAAAGGAAGGAGAGAAAGGGAAGAAAGAGGAGGATGAAAAGAGTGCAGGAGGTGGGACTGAAGGTGACAAGATGGATGAGCTGTTGGGAGAAGCCAACAAGATGCTAAGGATGATGAAAAATAAAGAGATGTCCGAGGCCAAGATGAACAAGCTTCACCAACAGCTGGGCGAGATCAAAAGAAGTACTGTATCAAAACGCTGAAGCACACAAGAGTCAGGGGAGCGAAAATGGGGAATACAAAAGATGATGAACTTGACTCAAGAGCTATGCGTCGACGGACCGGGCCGAAAATCTCAAAAGGTTTCAGTGTCTTTGGCTGACGGACGCACGACCCCGCTGTTGATGACAGAAGCTGGCGCGATGGTCTCCACCAACGTGTCCGTTGAGCCGATTGCGCGTCTGGGAATCCTTGCTGGCGGTAGTTGCAGCATTTCCTGATAAAAGAATTGCACGCGAGTGGCGCATCCCACCAAGGGACCCTACCCGCATCCAAGCTGGATGTCCCCAGGTTTTAAAGGCCTTGGCGCTCGAGCTCATCAAGGAGTACGAGGAAAGGGCAGTTGAAGTCAGACACGCCCTCATTGATGGTGAAACACACGGCAGAAAGGGGGAAAGTCTCACAATGATTTCATGTCATCTCTGTTCACGACCAGTCAGTGTCTTCCAGAGATGATGCTTCGAATTGCGAGGGTATAACCTGGACACTTCTTCTTGAAGATCATGTTCTGAGAGTGACTGACTGAGATGCGCTGTTCTAGCCTTAGCTTTTGACTTAGGTCTCAACATCGGTTGTACATACACGCGATGGCCTTTTCCACTCTAGTCTGGACGCGCGCAGCGATGGGAAAAAATTCCGCTGCGCATGGTTGTTGGAGCGGCGTCATCCACTCTTGCGGTGTGGCTCTAGTGACTAGTGCCATACAGCTTGTGAGCGTGTCAGAGAGAGAGAGAGAGATTGTTGCCATGTACTGGGTTGAAAACCGCCCGTGAATCTTGTAGCGTAGTCAGCTTGTCAGCTATGCTGGGGAAAAGGAAGGGTTATTTCTAAGAGCATGGTTTGGGTTCCTGAAGGGGCAGATTCGCCGCCTGCTTGGTATGGCATGCCTTCCTGCGAATCGATGGCCAGAGGCGCGTCACTATGTTCATGAACGTGAACGTCGGAGGTTGGACGACAAGGATGTATGAATGATGCCCCACTTTGCCATATGAATTGTTGGTCAAGAAGTTGAAGGTACTCATGAAGCGGCGATGCACTTTGCTCCCCGACCTGATGCCCATGGACACTACCCGTTTCCTAGGGGTGATCCTTGTGATGGAGGATAGGGGAGACGCTGACGACAGGGTCATTTCGTGGTCAACTTTCCGGTTTCGTGCTCATGTCCCCCTGGAATTGGAAACTTTTTGCGAAGATTGCTGAATGGTTATTTTGTTCAACATTTTGAGGTATAGTATAGATAAAAATCAATCGCCTTTCGAAATGTTTTGGCTCAGCGTTTTGTGGGGCCCATTGCTGCGACCTTTCTCGCATTGCCGTGGTCTCAGCGCAGTCTTGGCATTCGTGATGCATTCATGAATTCTGGCAGACATGCGTGGGTGATCGCTCATGACACTTTAGCTATATGTTTTCGGCTCAAACTGCGCTGAAGGTCATGGACGTTGCAAAGGAGGCGCGGACGCTTCATGTTGCAACTTACGTTTTTAAGTCATAGTGCGTATATATGTGCTTTGCAGATACGTCACTGGAAGGGGCCGCCACGTGGAGCACAAAGCTCAGATTGAAAATGTAGAGCCACAACTTCACGCACAATGAACTGAGGCTCGATCAAAGGTCTTTGCCAAACCAAATGTCCTGAGAGACAGAATGACACAGAGGAGACAGCTCCGAAGCTGTGGAGAAGGAATTGAGGGGATTGAAGATCTTGAACGCCGGACGCTTACAGAGACCTATCTTAACTTCAAGCGGACGCAGGCTGGGATTCAATGAGTCTTTCAATGCTGCTGCAATATCATTTCCAATTTTTGCAGGCGGGCTTCAGGCAGCAAAACTACTGGCGCAAGCCAGCGCGCCGGCAGCCACAGCTCAACCCAAGGCAATGCCAGCCAAGCTTCCAGCCTTCCAAAAGCTTGGTCGAGACGCAGCCAGCCTTCGTGGCCTGTCTCCAGAAATACTTCTTCATCCTGCTCGTGAGAGCGGTGATTTAATTACTGAGGCCAGGCAAAGGCAAATGCACAGGCGCAGGAATGAGAGGTATGTCCCATTTCCAAGCTGTGAGCTTTGCGTTTAGTGGTTGCTGGCAGGCTCATGCTTCAGCGAGATCATCTCAGCAACGCGGGCTTTAATGATGCCTTGAGAGCTGATCAGGCCCTTCTCCCAAGACAGCTTGAGGAAGACAGATTGGCACTTGGAGCAGTCTCAAACTCAAACTCATTCATCACAGCCCATTTATTGAGTTGCGAAATGCTCAGGCTTGCCCTGATACCAATCTGCACGCGCGTGGCCACCGCACAAGAGTGCGCAAACTAGCTTTGGTTCCACACACTCATCTATCCTTTTACTTGTAGTTTTGGCCTGTGCATTTCTGGGTGTTTGGTTTGCATCTTAGGCCATGGACCCTGCAGATGGTTTGGGCTTTGTGTGGCCACGTGTTTTCACTCATGATTTTCCACGTGTTTTTCACGCGTGGGTTTAGTGGTTCTTTTTTGTTTCCCGCGCAGGCATTTTTTGCATGCGTGAACCAAACATCACGCGTGACATTCTCATGAATGACTGTAAGGGTCAGGCATGCAATGTCATGAATGCTTTGAGAATTTCGCGCATGGTGTGTCCACTCATGAGCATGTATTTTCACTCATGATTTTTTGAGCTTGAAACTGGCTGGCTCAGGTCAAGTATCGCTGGTGGCATCGATCACCAAGTGCCCCCGCAAGGGATGATTGAAACGCCCATCTGCTTGAACAGCTTTCAGCTTTGGGCTTGGGGCCATTTGGGCTTCAGAGAGGAAGGGTGAAAACAATAAGGATGGGTAGACTCATCAAACAACTCTCCAATGACCCTGACCTTTGCGAGAAGTACGCCGCGGCGTTTAGAGCAGAACCTCGTTTGACGGAGGCCAATTTTCTTGCAATGTTTGATTCAAGCAGAGGAAGGATTGAACACTTTGGCAGGCGGGCATGTCCTTTGTCACTGCGCATAGCACACAGCTCTTCAGCAAACAGCCCACACCTTGAGCGATTGCGCGATCAACACAGAGGCCGTAATTTCTTGAGCGCGTTGCTCGTGAGAATTAATTGATGGATTGTTTGCTGGAGGTGATCAACGCGATCATGGTCACTACACCATGGGTCCGGCTCAGTGAGGATGTGATCAGCAAGCAGTTCTACACAGACAGGCTACCGCTTGGCGTCGCCATGGCAGCTCTCTCTGAGAAGGGCGTGAGAGACGGCGTCAGCTTCAAGGAAACTTGTGGAGCGCTTCCGCAATTTTTTCAGGAGACGCCTTCTGGAGCAAAGCTTGCTTCAATAGCTGCACTCAAAAGAGGGCTGGTTGACGCTGGTATTGACCCCAACCATGGGGACGCAGAGGAACCAGCGCAAGCCACTGAAGAGGACCTGCAGCAATTAGTGCCTGCAGATGTAGCTCTAGTGAATATTGCAAAAACAAGCAGGAGGCACAGGAACCGCCAAAGGCAAGACCTGTTGCTGCGGCTGTGCGCCAAAGCTTGGGACAAAGAAACGGAGCCTGTTAAGCCCTTCAAGATTCAAGACTACAGATGAGGAGACAGACTGCGATGAAGACAATGTGGAAAAGATGCGCAAGGGAAAAAACAAAGCCAACGAAGAAGGGAGAGCCGAAGAAAAAGGCAGAGCCCAAGAAGAATACAAAGAAAATACGCTAAGCCAGTGACCGCAGGTTCAGAGGGGGAAACTGCCCTTGCTTTGGAGGACTCTGCCGAGCGTCAAGTGGTAGCTGGGGTTGCTGCTGCGGAGGCAAAGTCTGAAAGACTGAGGGCGAGAATCGCTACAGAGCAGGCAACTTCAATGAAGCATGCCTGCGGTACATCAAGACGGTTCGGGAACAGCAGAAAATTCCACGCAAAAGAGCTCACGAACTTTGGACGCTTTCGACGCTTTCTACGGCGAGATCGGACCTTCTCTCGGGCTTGTCCGAGAAGGAACTGAAGCGCAGGAGGTTTCTTTAGCGCCAGTGGTGAGAACACGACTTGCACAAACGCAGTAATTCTAGCAGCAGCGCGCGTAATACATACGTGTTTATGTTGCCAAGCAGCTTCGACTTCACAGTCGTGGGGAAACGAAAGGGGCGGTTCGTGACCGAGCGACCGGAACGGCATGGTGGGTGATCAGGGTGGCAGAACAGCAACTTTCACAGCCACATCAAAATAAAAATATCATATAGATCCTTTCAAAGACTCTCGTATAATAAAGCAAAAAATTTCAATGAAAAAATGTGATCCTTAAGTTCTATACTGTTAAAAGACTATTATGAGGTACACACGTATGAACGAAATGAAAACATGCACCGCCACTGGTAAACAAATGTGATAAGGCGAGACGGATGCGGCGGCTCGATGTATGAAGATATTTGAGGGTGCGATGATGTAGGTGTACTCAGTATTCACCGGCCTTTGCTGCAACAAATGTCGCTAACATCTTCGCTTTGCTGTAGCTGAACAATCTGAACATAGAATCAACCGCCGCTGAAAATTACCAACCGGACAAACCTTATCAAAACTTGAAAACACGAACCGCAAGAAGCATATGACCAACAAAAACTATCATTGCACATACAGCCCGAGCCTCCAGAAGCTGAGGCCTTCAAGCACTGTCGAGCGCTGTAACTCCCCGACCGGTGTTCGCAAAATACTTTGCGTGGAGTGATCCCCACCATGGATTCTGCTGACAACCGACGCCTTTATTGCTTCACAAGGAAAGTGTCTATCTTGCAAAAACCTCAACCGCGAGCGCTAGATCGTAGCGGGCGCCGCCGGACCTCAGCGCTAGATCCCTGCAGCGGGGCGCCCTAGATTGCCCCGGCACGGGGAAATCCTTATCTCACGGCTAACTGGTTAACTTGAAGGAGTCAGCAGCTCCTTCCCCTTAGCTCTGGAGTGAGGAATCCTTATCTCGGGGCTTGAGGGCTAGATCGCTGTGGGCACGAAGCGAGCGCCAGGTCGCAGTGGGCACCGCCAGGTCTGAACCAGGTCAACAATATTGCCCGATAGAATGCCAGAATTCATGCGTCAGCATTGTCATAAACCGTCAGAAAACAATCCCAGAACATGTGTTAAAAAGTCAAAAAGAATGTCAGGGCGAATGCCAGAAACAATGTCCGAGGATATCCACGTGCGCTTTGATCAAAATGTAACAACCCTCACCCGGCCGGTCTTGGAAAAAGATATCTTGCATTTCCGCCGCAATCTCAACCCAACATCATCATGAGATAAGGTCCTGGCTCAAGGGGGAATAGCTGAGTAGATGAAGTTGATGAACGCCCTGATTGAAGCGTTCATCCGAGCGCAGGAGCAACAAACTCAGGCAGGGTAGTTCAACCTATTGCACTCCAATTTAAGCGCCCATTCCAAACCTTTTGAACAGTGAAGTAAAAAACTGAGAGCGTCCCGTTGACATTAAGTAGTCCACTTTAAATACGGCTTTGTTTGCAAGAGGAAATTAACTTGGTTTGTAAAACTGCTGACAAAGACTTTACATCATAGTCTGTCATCATTGTGCCTCAATTAAGCCTTTGTGCGATCTTTTCTTCTCAATCTAAGATTCGTCTCTTTGAGCTCTTGGAGCTCTTGGAGGAGCGGCTTCTACATCGAGCACTCCGAGGGCTCGGGGCAGTGAGCTGTTCCAAACAAACAGCTGCCTTGGCTCAGCGCCGCCAAAACATAACGCAAGTTCCCAAAACCCAAAGCACCCAATCACGTTCCACTTTTCAAAAAACTCCATCGCGCTTCAAGTCGAGGCACCACTTCGCGGCCACCCAAGCTGCCTGCAAAACCACTGCACCCAGCAGCAGCTGCCACAACGACGCCACTAAAACCACTCAGGACAGTTGCAACTGCCATTGCCTCAGCTTGGTGGTCTGAGCAGAAACGCTAGATAGTTCAAGAAACACGGTAGGCAATCAATTGCGTTTATGCCTGCGCCTTGAATATATACATACATACATACATACATACATACATACTTACATGCTTACATGCTTACATACATACAATACAGAAACGCAAGCTTTTGAAAACTGAAAACAAGTTTGGCCTGCAAGCTGCCACGCGAAAAGAATCCAAACGTATAATTATGATATACCCAATACTGCGGCCGGCAGAAACGTCCTATATACTGTGATCATCCTATCTGTCCTGATCGTTCCACCATACAACAAATATATATATATATATGCATACGCTGTCACATTGCGTGGGTCAGGGCTGGTACCAAAGAAAAAGGAAATAGACCCAAACAAACGCAAATAGACAATTGCAAAAAGCGGAAGGACAGCTGGCGCAGGATCAGTTTTTTGGGCCGGAAGTTTGGTTAAAGTAGTTTTGGCTGGGTGAGGACCA